ACATGTACGTACCAGAGGGGATAGGAGGCAGCAAAAAACGCCCAACTGAAGCAACATGCCAAAACCTAATCGTGTCGTCACCTCCACGACAGCCTGTCAGGGTGACTTTGTCAACAGCCTTCCAACACTCAAAAGTGCCTCCAACCCATAGAACGACCACGACAACAGCAGCAGCAGCAGCAGCAATAGCAGCAGCATACCGTAAGTTGCATGGGGTACCACACCCGTGTGATACCACTTGGGGGGGCACCAAAGTCATCACACGGGTGTGGTACTCTGTAGGGGGTTCGATATCTTGCGACACCCGCGTGATGAAATGCACTCACAACCTCAGAGGGGATGTGATAATGTCGCCCCATGTGATGAAGCACGCTTACAGGATCTGGCTTACAGGGGGTATGATAATGTCGACAAAGAGCAGTGCGCTCACAAGACCCTACCTACCGAGGGTGTGATGATAATGTCGCTCAAGTGATGTGATGTGCTCAAAGCAGGAACCCACGTACAATGCGTCATGAAAGGGGTGTAAAAAAGGTATGGTAGCTAACTAGGGTGGCACAAGCAACTTCATCAAGCGCTCTCCCACGTGCATTTTCGCAGTACCCTGTGGAATGCTTCGCATAAACAACGAACGTGTAGTACAACCGATACCTCATATAGCGGTTGTTCCGGTGTTGTGTGCGACAACACGACAGCACACCAGTGCCGACGCAACGACTTGCAAGACTTGCGTGCATCACTCAAGCTGGAACTACCATAGGCTGCAAAAAAGATACATACCACACTCTACATTAAGTACAACACCCCCGCCGAAAACGTACACAATACCACCCCCGGATGTTATTATTTTCATTCCGAAACAAGCGTCATTTTATCACACGGTGACGTACGATGCCACCCCCCCTAAAGTTGAGCCGCACATTATCGACGGGGCCCCTGCTTCTCACACGGTGTGACAACGTGAGAGCACGAGATCGCAAGCGCACAACCTGCCATGGAGGCCGACAATGCTAGGGGGGTGCAGTTCGCAACCCTACTTGAAAGCGGGCGGCGGCTCGGACTGCAGCGGGTGAGACTCCAGCGGCGGCTCCACGCTCCATAGCGTCCTTTTTTCAAGCCGCCGCGAGGAAACGTCAGACCCCGGCTGAGACGACTCCCTCAGCAGCCGGACATGACACCGTCTGGAGTCTCCCCCGCTGCAGTCTGAGCCGCCGCCCGCTTTCAAGTAGGGTTGCGAACTGCACCCCCCTAGCATTGTCGGCCTCCATGGCAGGTTGTGCGCTTGCGATCTCGTGCTCTCACGTTGTCACACCGTGTGATAAGCGGAGGCCCCGTCGATAAAGTGCGGCTCAACTTTAGGGGGGGGGTGTTATCTTACGGCACCGTGTGACAAAATGACGCTTTTGTTCGGGATTTAAAACAAAAAGCACACGGGCGTGGTCTTGCGTACGTTTTCGGCGGGGGTGTGGTATCTAAATGTACTTCCAATTGTGATATCTTATGCAACCTACGGAAGCATCACCAGCGGCGCCAGCAGCACGAGCGACACCGGGACCGTTCTTAGGATCGATCTTCTCCTGTCCCCTCTCACCTCAGCTGCCAGCACATCTCCTGCCACAGCCCCTGCCCCGGGGAATACAGAGCCCCATATCCCGCCTCGATCTCCTCCAGCTCTCTCTCCTCCTCCCCCTCCATCACACGGGTCCCGACCACGCCGCCGCCGGCCATCGCCGCCGCACGCCAAGGCTGCCCCCGCCTCTCGCACAGCCGCTTCGCCGCGCTTAGCCTACCCGCCCGCACCAGCGCCCACGCCGACCGCAGCAGGTTTTCCTCGTCAAGGTCATCCTGGCCCACGAGCCGCATGACCTTCAAGCCCCCCCGGCTCACGCTACGAAGGTTGGCGTCCGGGTGCATCTGCGCCACCTCGCTCTTCTGCCCCCCGCCTACCGCTAACGACTCCAGGGTGTCGCTCCAGCCCAGGTGGCCTTCGCCCTCCCCCCCCCCTAGGCCGAGCGCATTCAGTCGCGTGTGCGTGGCCCCCTGCAGCCACTCCACCACTGCCTCTGTACGTCGGAACTCCGCGTCCCGGGCGCGCATCGAGACCAACACCGCTTCGTCGGAGGCGTTGGGGCCCCGCGGGGCGCTGTGTGTCGCGTTGGCATCCCCATGCGTTGGTAGGCCAAGAGCGGACGGTAAACCAAACGCGCGGAAAAAGAACAGGTTAAGCGAGGAAGACATTCGTCCCCCCATGCGTTGGTAGGTCAACAGCGGACGGTGAACCAAACGCGCGGAAAAAGAACAGGTCAAGCGAGGAAAACATCGTCCCCCCATGCATCGATACGAATCAAGAGCGGACGGTGAACCAAACGTTGGAAAAAGAAAAGGTAAAGTAAGGAACACACGAAGGTTTCGTATCCATCCCCATGCGTCGTGAGTGGTCAAGAGCGGTGAACCAAACGTGCGGGTAGAAGTAAGAAAAGGATAAGCAAGGAACACTCTAACAGTTGAACGCCGCAATTTCATGGCTAAAGACTAGTTGCCCTCGCTTGACTTGGTTAAGCTCCTCCCCCAAGACTGTGAAGATAGCTGAACGATAGAAACAGACGCAATTCCAGTTCGAATATCGTATATGCATCAGAGAAACGGCGGGTCGAAAGAAGGAGACCTCTAGTCTAAGTACACGTACGTCAAGTCTAAGGTCGGAAATATACAGGCACCAGAAATGAACAAAGGGGAGGAAATACTAAAATACAGGAGGCACACAGGCATGACATGGATAACCACAAGACCTGACCACACACGGGAAAATGGACACAAGCAAACACACGTGCAGTTTGCTTCGCTTGCAACCGTTTCTGTCTTTCACCCGGGGAGCAGCTCAGCCTCCCCCATGAAGCCCCCTCACGGGGTCTCAGATCATGACCTTTTGGAAGCATTTTGTGGTTTCAACCGCACTCACGTCTTTTCATTTGCCAGCCGGTTAGCGCGGTCAAAGCAAACAACAACCAACCACAAACAAACGCAATCCCTACAATAGTTACCCACCCGCTGCGATCATTGGCATCTCCTCCCTCTTCCTCCCGCTGCCGAATGCCCTCCAAAATGTCCTCGTCCTCCTTATCCACGCCGTTCATGATCAGCAGCAGGGCCCACGTGTCCTTCTCCAGGGAGAGCTCGTGGGCCGCCGCCGCCGCCACCGCAACTGCTGGGGCACCGCTTCCCCGCAGCTCGCGCAGCCGGTCGGCGGTGTCTGACGCCGCCGCCTCCGCCCCTTCCGCGAAGCCGTACATGTCCTGGAGGATGTCGCTGATCTGTTCCGGCCGCGCACGCGCCCCCGGTGGCAGGCGGTTCTGCGCAGCAGGGTGTGGGGTGCATGGCGAGAGGAGGGGGGCCGAGGGAGGGGATCACGCACTTGTTTTCCTGCGGGGGGGGGGGGGCTAACTCCCGGGGGGGGGGGTGCTCATGCAATGCCGTAGTCGTTAGACCGTTGAACTCGCTGTAGTCACATTCCTTCCTTTTCGCCGGCCCAGGCCACGTTTCACAAGGATAAACGTTTCACACGTGTCATCACCCTTGCGTTTACTGTGATGAACCAGATATGCCATGGGTTGATTGGGCGTCCCGGCTAACCAAACGTTTCACTCGGCAGGCACGACTACACTTCCAAGTATTGCAAGGGACTTCGGTCTTTGCGCGCTCCAGGGGGGGGGGGAACGTACTCTTATGTTTTCCACGCCTTAGCGGTTAGATCATTGACCGATCGTCCTCGAGAGGACGGGGAATTGTTCCCACAGGACCGATCACCGATGGCCAATCGTTCCTTCCTACCTTACCAAAGGTGGTCTTCCCTAGCGTATCTATCCTAACGATATCACTTCCCGCCTCTTCAGCCCACTTCCTATGCCCCAGCACAGCTACCGTCTTCTCCTGGCTATTCCTCAAACATCTCCCTGTCTCTTCCTACTTTTCTCAACTCAGTCACGTACACTTCCCTCTCCTTGTACAAACGACATTCCGCAACTACATGAACCCGGTCTTCGGACTCGGAGCCGCAATCACATTTGAACTTGTCTGAATCGTCTACCTTCTGATGCCTTCGGCTACGTTCTCGAAGACCAAACGTCCCCGGTCCTGAATATGACCTTCAGCTTTGTCCCTGCATCCATTGGTCCATGTGGGTACTCCTTGGGCCCTATGTCTGTTTTCAAAAGTCCGTACACCTCTAATTCCTTGCCCTTGGTTTCTTTGGTTAGATTCTGTTCTTCTCTCTTGGCGAAAAACAACACACATATTTTCCGATCCCCTCTCGACCTTCCGTTTCCAGCGTATCACCTTCGTCCATTTCGGTCTCCTTCCATACGTCACCACAACCTTCACCCACTCCGTGGGTTGTCTAGCCCACTTCTTGTTTGCCCACTTCGCCTCCCAAGCTATTCTGGGCAACTTCTCCTCTCCCATACTGCACATGCGATACTGCCATTGTGGCTTCCCTGCGTCTCTTCCCGATCGTATGTAGGGATTGGATCCCCAGTTCCGCCCTGGTGGCTGCATTACTTGTGCGCGTGGAGCACCCTAGGATGATTTCCGCTGCTTAATCTGCGCCGCCTCGCCCTCGTTGACTTACTTCTTATGGCGTACTCCAGTGGTGGCATGATTACGCTCTTCAAACCGTCAATTTGATGCGTGTATCGAGGCGCCGGTTTGCGAGGATCGGGGGCAGCTTCCCTGCTCGTGATTTGCCCTTTTCCGCTACCTTGGACATATGTGCATCCCACGAACAGTCTTTTGATATCTCTACTCCGAGATATGTGTACGGATCCACTACTGCAAGCTCCTCGACCCCCCACTTCCATCTATGTTCTACTGGTTCCTCCCCGTCCTCGCTGCATACCATGACGGCACTCTTCTTGACGTTGGCAGACAATCTCCACTCATAAGCGAAATCCTCATCTGCGTCAACCTGCAGTTGACGTCCCTCAGGGGTATCTGACATACCAACGAAATCATCCGCGAACAGCATTCCCGACACACGACGGATCGTTGATGAACACCTGAAACAGTGTTGGGGACAAAGTGCAACCTTGTGGGACCCCCTGCTCAATGTTGAAGAATTTTGACAGTTTTCCGTCTAGCATGACAGCGCTTTCTTTTTGTACACTCTGTCATCTTCTTCAGCACTCTCCACATTTCCCCCCCTTTATCCCATACTTCGACACTTGTTTCCACGGCGCATTTCTCCGTACTGTATCGCAAGCCTTTTGCGCGTCCAAGAAGAAGCAGACGTCGGCTTCCCCGCCCTCTCTCTACCTTGGATAATTCGCCGTACCGTGAATACTTGGTCTACGCACCCCCTCTTCTTTCAGAACCCTGCTTGGTCCTCACTTATCCTACATTCCTTCTCCAATACTCCGCAACTATCCTATCGTTCAGCAGCTTAGAGAACACTTTTCCTATTGTGTGTTCAGCAGTGTGACCCCCCTGCAGTTTCCTGGGGGAGTCTCGTCTCCCGTATTAAACGAGTTCACAACCACCCCTTCCCTCCATCTACTTGGCGCATCGCGCTCAACGGTTAGCCCCACATGCTATTTTAGTGAGGCAGACATATGTTATGTCGTCAGGAGAGTCCGAAGATGCCGGCAGGGGCGAGGCCGCACCGACGCACGGCGAACTCAGGACGGTCGTCGACGACGTCGGCACCAGATTGGAAAAAACGAAAAAAAAAATGGTACAAGTGACAGAGAAAAAGGTGTCGCAGGCTCCTAGATACCTACGGTCAACCCTCCAAGCCGAAATCAATCGATCCCTCGGTGGCACCAGTCCAGGGGGGCGGGGGCGAGGTGGAGGAGGGCGTAAAACATGTCCTATTCGCTAACTGCGAGCGACTGCCTGAGCCTCCGAATGTTGGGCTCCATCGTCGCCTCCTGCATTGGTCTCTGCGTTCGGCCCGTGCCTCAACCGGGTCCTGTACGCGGGCAGCCCTGGCTGGGTAGCTGCCAGTCGGGGTATCTGCCAGTCGCCGCGAGTGGCGGCTACAAGGCGAGAGGGAGCGGCCCAGACAGGGCTGCACCCTT